GCTCTATAAAGCTCATTTTAGTCTATCTTAGCATTTGTTCGCATAATTTTAACTATTATTTACATTTGAAAAACTCTTCTCAGCTCTTTCCACTGCCATTCTTTACTCACTTTAGATCAATGATGCTATTAAGGCTGCCAAGATCAAGTGAAATAAGGTTTTAGGACTTTTATATTTTAGCTTCTTTGTATTTTTGCAGTCACGTCAAGAACACATATCACTATGGAATGTTTTCCTGCAAACTATTCATCTCATTTTATTCCATCTTATAATATTTTCCTCTTTTTCAGGTCGACCTGAATTCCCAGCCGACTGCAGTACAAATTCCGATCATTCCCCGAATTAATATCACCTCTCAGCCGGCATCAGATCACCTTCCATACACATATCTTCCTATTCTAGCCAGGTTAAAGGAGATACACGAGGTAGATGCAAGTTTACTCTGCATTAGTTTGTTCCAAACCTAGTCTATTGTTTAAATGGTTTTTGGCGAGGCCCAAATAATTGATTTCGCCATTAACATCGGCTGAAATAGCCTATCCGTTATCTTTAACTGGGTTCTGAGCCTAAATAACTTGTTACATGAATACACAAATGAATATTAGTTGAAATCTGATTATCATACACATATTTAGACAAATTAACTAGCCCTCACTATATTTAAGTAGAGTGTAATTGCCCTCCTAGGATGATTTTTGTCATTTAATTTCCTAAATCAAAAGATAGTTTTCCGACAGATCGAGGATCATCCTTATACAACTTCAAGTTATGCTTATCACTAATGAGCACCATCAATAGCATAAAAAGCTTATACGTACCATGGCTGAACCGAATGCGCAAAACTCTTGGCAGCAGTTGGTCGACAATCGTTATAAGGTAAGTTTTGCCCTTCTTGATGGGGTCATGGGACTCTATGAGTAATGTGATAATCAACTAGATAGTAATAATGGGCTTTTCGTTCAAAAATAGGGTTTTGAGACTACCAGTAAATCAGTTATATGAGATGTATTCACTCTATTTCGTTTAAGGGTATGAAGGACTATTAAAAATTTCCCACAATTATATGAATACAGCTGGGGTTCCCATTGAATTTCATATAACCTTGCTTTACCAAACGTTGTTCTCATCCAGAATGGACTGCAGTTTCGACCTCGCATCGGTCTTATCAACACCCCCAGTGGAAGTCGAACCATGAAAACTCAGATATATTCTTATCATTTTTGGAAAATTCAACTACTAGTCCTTCATCACTAGTCCATCATCCTTCATCATTAACCGAAATAGGGTAAATATATCTCATATAGCCATGGCTTGTTTTGCTACATCATGCACTCCTTGATTTTATTTGTTTCCTCACCTCTTTTCCTTAGTGCAAACTCATCTCTATGAGCTGCTGTGTGATAGCCAGAATTATCTTCGGTTGTTTGGGAAGGATTAAGGTCTTCCGAAGTGGAACTGAGCATATAGCATAGTGTAATTGGTCTATAGGTTTTCATCATTAATGAAATGATCTTTTAATGAGTTCATGTATTTAGCGAAGACTAATCCTTTCATTCTCATCTTTCTTGCCACTCGGTCCACTGCAATTACTTTCATTTTCGTATTAATTCGACGTTAACAAGGTTTTGTTTTTGTATAGCAAGCTTTCATGTTTATTTTTTTCTCGCACACTGTACTCCATCTTCACTATTTCTTCTTTTCCATACGAATTCTGTTCCACTAATCCTATATGCGGCTTGCTCGCTCAGCAAATCATGCCAGGTCCGCCGTTCGCGTTTGGCGCTCTGCTTGTCCTCTCAGCCCTTCTTGTATCAATGCTTATTCCAGAGAACCCGCATGCCACTCGTCTCAATAAGCCTCGGTTGCCAAACGGCCTCAGTCCTGGCAAATTCTCTGGGAGTTGGTCGGATTCCGCTGACTGCAGTGGCGCCGCTTGTTCTACTAATTCAATTTCCACAGGTAAAGACCACAGTCAGCATTACCTTGCGACAAATACACGCCGATTGCTTCAGGCCAGGCAAAAGCCGGGAATCAGATTTGCTGGTCATAAATACGGTCTGGATCAATGCGAACAAATGAATAAAGACCATTCGTATTGCCAACACCATAAGAATCTTTATGGTTCTTCACATTCTGGAAGGGAGTCTGCTTGCCATTGCCCAACTCATCACCGTCGTTACGGGCACGTAAACATCCAGGTAGCCAATAACGAGGCATGTCCTATTTGTCTAAGCCATTCCAGATCTTCAAGCAATACTAGCGCAACAATCATGATGCCCTCGGAAGCTCGGTCCCCTCTTTGCCCCCAACACTTGGATGAGCAGCAATTCTGTCTACTACGGCCTGCTGATCCTTCAGAAAGATATGAGAGTGACGTAAAACAACGAATGGATTACTCCGATGGAGGATCAACCGATTTCCAGGATAACCATGGCTCCTTAAAATGCTCCTCTTACGAAAGTCTCCTCTGGGATACCAAGGCCCCTCTTGCACGAAATGGCAAGTCTTTAAGTTGTGGATTTTTCCCCGTTTCCTAATAGATAATTTTATTTAGCTTGTTGGTCAAATTA